AATAAAAATACGAGTGGTAAGAGTAGAAGTATTGGCAGCAGCAGCAATAGTAGCAGTAGTAACACTAGTAGTAGTTATGATAGTAGTAGTAGTAGTAATAATAGTGATCGTAGTAGTAGTAGTAGTAGTAGTAGTAGTAATAGTAGCAGTGGTAGTAATACTGGTAATAGTAGTAGTAGTAGTAGTAGTAGTAGTAGTAGTAGTAGTAGTAGTAGTAAGAGAAGAAGAAGTAGTAGTAGTAGTAGTAGTAGTAGTAGTAGTAGTAGCAACACCAATATAGTAGCACTAGACGCCATAATTAGCGTAATAATAACTGTTATTATATGAGTAGTGGTAGCAATAAAAGCACTACAGGCAGCAATACCGTGGATGGGAAAGTTGACGCGAAACTGATTCGTAACGTTGGAATCTCGCCAATTCAACGTCCGCGGGTTCCAAAATTGCCACGATCGGCGGCCGCCGCCGAAAATGTAAAAACCAACCGAAAAAAAACGCGGACCACAAGTGCATGCAATTGGGCACCATATCGTCGTGGCCCGGACTGCCTCATCTCCTCTGAAAGGCAATATTTCAACGTTACGATTTGGTTTCGCACTATTTGTTTACATCCACGGCTGCCATCTCGTAAACGGGGGGCCTATGGCCTGTGGGATCAGAGAGCGTCGTGGGGATATGTCTCATTAGCTGCAGCTTCAGCTGCGCCATCGTGGCGGCACCAGTTCGTCGCCCTAGCTCGGGCCTGCCGAAACCATCGCAAATCCAATTGAATTCGGGAAGCTTTGTTTCCAAATTCTTCGCCATATGAGTACCACTCGGGCCGCTGCTTCCGTGTGTGCCGTCCTAGCCTGACTCAAGCGAAACGCCGATGAGATCGCCAGGACTGGCGCTCCGGGACGTTGCGCTGCTTTCTGGTGCTAGCCTGGCTATGACGAAACGATCCTGGGATCGCCGGGAATGGCGTTCTGGGACGTTACACTTTTTTGTCCTAGCATTTACGAATACTCAATGTTATGATCGGCGTCGTTTTGGTGAGGAAGTCCTGCGCCAGAACTCCAAAAACTCATTCACAACGTTGGAATGTTCCAACCCAATCGCATTTCGTGGCTTTCATCATCGTTTCGTCAAAGCCAGGCTAAGACCGGGAAAACCGTAACGTCCCAGAACGCCATTCCTGGCGATCCCAGCACCGTTTTGTCATAGCCAGGCTAGCACAGGAAACAACGTAACGCCCAGAAACGCCATTCCTGGCGATCTCATCGGCGTTTCGCTTGAGCCAGGCTAGGACGGCGCACGGAAGCAGCGGCCCGACTGGTAGAATCGGAGCCCCGTATCGTGCATAGAATTCAGAAGGGGCCCTCGAATCGGCCTTGCAGGAAGGCCGAGGATGGAAACAATTAGCGCGAAATTGATTCGCAACGTTAGAATTTCTTCATTCAGAGCCCCCTTCTCCGATTACGACTAACACGATGGGGCCTTCTTGGGGAATTCCAGGTCCGTATGACACGCGTCGGCGGGTAGAGAAAAAATAGCACATTGCGAATGAGAGGCATCCCAAGAGACCCTCATTTTCAACTAAGAGCTCATGTTCCTCCTCCTCCTCCCACCTCCTTCTTTTCCTCCTCCTCCTCCTCCTCCTCCTCCTCGACCTCCTCCTCTTCCCCCTTCCTCTTTCTCCTCATACCTTCTTCTCCCCCTCCTCAAACCTGGGACTCTCCGGATGTTGAGTGGGAACGTCTTTCGTAAAGAACTCTTCATGATGCTGGCCCCTCCTCCTCCTCAGCTTTCTCCTTCTCCATCCTCGTCCTTCGAAAGACCCACGCAGACATGTATGGTTCGCTCCTGGGCTGCATGCTGCCTTGCGTCCCTGATCAAGGCACCTCGATTGGGGATCGTTTCTGGATGGATTGCCAGGTGTAGGCGAAGCGTCAAGATTTCCTACAAGTGCGGTTTGTGTTAACAGCGCGTCTGCGAGGTGCCCCGGGCCCCCACAACGGTCCAAACTTTTGGTGATGGGAAGCACTGATAGGATGCTAGTGTATCTCCATCATCTACGAATCATGCACTCTGTACTCTCTTCCGCACGCTCTTGGCTGGAAGAGGCAGTGGACCGAGCCTGAAAAAACTGGGTATAATGCATCTCAACCCCCTCGCCCACCACAAGAGTTCTAAAATCGGGGAGACCCTCTCCTCGGGAACGCTCACCATGATTAGAAGTGGCAATTGTTCTGGTTCTGGTTTCCCTCCCGGCACTTCAAGGCGCCAACGGACGTCCCATCTTGGCAATCATCTCCATGGCCGCCCTCGCCAGTGCCAGTCATCCACGAGCAATCGTAGCCCTCGTAGTCAATCGGGTTGGTCACGTAGTGCGCATACCAAGTGCAAGTACGGTCGCCTGCATGTACGGACGGGATGTGCTCGAAAACTCCGTTCAAGATCCTGCACGTCCTGGCGCAGCCATTCGGCTCATCGTCGCAGAAGTCGTCGCAGTAGCTGTCGCACCTGCACTCGTGCGGTGTGCCCTCGGCGTAGTTTCTCGTGTAAGTCATCCCGTCGCAGCCCTCGTCGGCGGCCAGTGCGGCACCGAGAGACTGGATAGATGGGCACGCCTCACCATCGTATGAAGGCCCGCCGATCGCCGAGGCATCGCAATACCGGCAGCCCGAGTCCTCGACGCACCCTTGCCCTGGGCAGGTCGGGTCCTCGAAGCACCAGATAGCCGAGTTGGAATGCGGGGCTGCGCAAGGTTTCGCGTCCACAGTGCAGCCCGAAGACGGCGCTGGCGAAGGGCACGCCTCACCATCGTACGATGGCCCTCCGATCGCCGAGGCATCGCAGTACCGGCAGCCCGAGTCCTCGACGCACCCTTGCCCTGGGCAGGTTGGGTCCTCGAAGCACCAGAGAGCCGAGTTGGAATGCGGGGCTGCGCAAGGCTTCGCGTCCGCAGTGCAGCCCTCGTCGGCGGCCAGTGCGGCACCGAAAGACTGGGTAGATGGGCACGCCTCACCATCGTATGAAGGCCCGCCGATCGCCGAGGCATCGCAATACCGGCAGCCCGAGTCCTCGACGCACCCTTGCCCTGGGCAGGTCGGGTCCTCGAAGCACCAGATAGCCGAGTTGGAATGCGGGGCTGCGCAAGGTTTCGCGTCCACAGTGCAGCCCGAAGACGGCGCTGGCGAAGGGCACGCCTCACCATCGTACGATGGCCCTCCGATCGCCGAGGCATCGCAGTACCGGCAGCCCGAGTCCTCGACGCACCCTTGCCCAGGGCAGGTTGGGTCCTCGAAGCACCAGATCCGCCACCGTGCCTGCACGATGCGGATAACCTACGGTGTAAAGCACTGTCTGGCGGGGTTTTTGACATCTTTCAAGGGACCCCCCCTCGCGCCACGCTTCACTGTATGCGCACCGCCCCCCCCCCACCCACCTCCCGAGGGTTCCTGGGCGCCCCAACGCTACTTTTGTGCACCTAGAAGCGTGCAAAATGCTCAAGCCGGCTTCCAAGATGGGCATGGCAGGCCACCAAAGCCGCCAAGATGGCCCAAGACGGCACTATGGTGGTCCAACATGGCAACAAGACGCCCAAAGATGGCTTCTAAACGGCTCGAAGGGCCCCAAAGACGGCCAAAGAGTACCGCAAGATCACCAATATCGTCATACATCCCCAGGCCGAAGGTTCTTTCCTCTTGGACTGAGAATGTGAGAGCACCGATGGATCCACTTGGATCCCTGTTCGGGTGTGCAATAGTATCGTACATCCTCTTTCTGTCTTGCGCGGATCCAATGTCCCGCGTGTGGAAAACCAATGGATCCATTCATTTTCCGGGAATGAGTATATACAACAACAACAACAACAACAACAACAACAACAGCAACAACAACAACAACAACAACAACAACAACAACAACAACAACAACAACAGCAAGAATAATAATAATAATGATAACAATGGTGATTAACATCCCGCTCCCAAGGGAAATGGGACCCGCGGGGCACCGCACGCGAAGCATCATGCCATCCACGGAACTGTGGATCTGCTGACCGAAGCTGTGCTTTTTCGGGGGAGGGATGGTCTTCCCAGGACGGAGAGAGGAAGGAGGAGAGAGGAGGCACGAGGGGGGAGGAGGGGAGAAGGGACGGGAGGAGGGAAGACAGAAGAGGAACAATCGGGGAGGAGGGGGGAGGGAGGGAGAAAGGGGTAGGAGAAAAAGGAGGGAGAAGGGATGCGGAAGGAGAAAAGAGGAGGGAGGAAAAGGTGGGAGGAGGAGGGAGAAGGTGGGGAGAGGACGGAGGAGGAAGGACGGGGAGCATAAGGACACACAAGCAAAATGTCAGTATCGGAAGCTCGAGCACCATAGCGGGCCCAGCCACCTCCCTCAACTCCTCTCCTAACATGTGGTTGCTCGAACGCCACAGCGGGCCTGGCCTTCTCTCAGAAATCCTCCCATAACATAAGGTTGCTCGAACGCCACAGCGGGCCTGGCCAACTCCCGCATCTCCTTCACTAGGATATGGCACGCCCCAAGCCGAAAGGAGCGCTACATATATACATATATATATATATGTATATATGCGTTCACATGAACGGCACGTCGCTTCCGACAGTTTGGGCTCAAGAAGAACATATTTCGGCCTGCGGAAGTAATCACCATCACCACCACCAACACCACCACAGCCATCATCATCAGCATCATCATCAGCAGCAGCATCATCAGCAGCAGCATCGTCGCCAATAACAACATCATAATCATACTCCCCATCATCATACTCATCATCACCACCATCAGCATCACCATCACCATCACCATCACCATCATCATCCTCATCATCATCATCCTCATCATCATCATCATCAGCATCATCATCATCATCATCATCATCATCATCATCATCATCATCATGAGTATCAGCATCATCATCAGCATCGCCATCATCATCATCAGCATCAGCATTAGCATCATCATCATCATCATCATCATCGGCATCATCACCATCATCATCA